CAAACGTGTAAGCTTTTTATGTAGTAAAAAATGTATAAATAAGCTAAAAAAATAGTATACTCAGATGTACGATAACTTTTCAAAAGAGAAAGTCTCTTTCTGTTTTGCAGCCATTTCTTTCATTTACATATGAGGATAATTCCTTGTAACTTGTGGGATGGTAGTCAATTAAACTTGCATTCATGACACAAAAGTTAGTGACGTTACTGACTTCCAAGATTGGCTTGACAGCACTACTAGAAATGATTGTCACCTCGTGCAAATCTTGTGTAATTTAGGAAAGACTTTCTAGAAAAATATGAAGAAAGATTAAAAATTTCCAGAAATATGATGTTATTAAGAAATAAGCAAAACGATTATCATATTTGGTTTGTGAATGCTTTTCACATTACAAAGAGGCGTGGCTGAACAGCTGTCTCGACGGAGGGATACTTCTCTGAAATACATGTGATGTCCACGTGTTTAGCAAACTGTCATTTTCGCTCATTTTTAGGGAGATTCATCCATATTTGTTAATTGTCATATAGAATAATATGAGCTCTTACAAGCACGGGCCCGGTGACTTATTTTTATGAACATTCAAGATTACTTTTATTAGTAATTAATAGTAAATAGTCGATATACCGGCGTCTGCTCTCCCTATCAGTCCTTCCCCCAGTTCACCCAACTACGTCTGGCAATGGTGCACCTAGATATATTGCGAGGCGCGTCACATCTTGTACATTAGGGAGTTCGTGCATATGATAGCGTCAGCACTATTGATCTTATGCGCATGCGCAGATGCACTAAAGTGATGCGACACTTTAACTGCGCGTGCGCAGAATATTGATAGCGCGTCACGTTCGCGATTACACAAACTTTCTCTTGTACGATTAACCAAAAGGGGCAGAAATCGCGAAAGCAATTCGATATTTTCTCGACTTCTCGAAAAAGTTGAAGCAAATTTTTGAGAACAATTCCTCAAGTAGTTGTTATAAACACACAACTATAAATATATGCAATGAAACTTGGACCTGCAGCATGGACAGAGTCACCGCAACTTGGATACATGAATACCAACTCGGTGAAAGAAAAACTCTCATTTCCTTTTCGACAAAAGTTCATTTATTAAGAATTGTTGACTGTTTCCCAAATCATGCACTCCGGTTTAATAAACAGTTACTGCAAACGCTTGTTTCGCAAATCTTTCATACGCAGATACGAGGCTCCAACGATAGGAACATTTGTTTCGGTTGTTGCTCATATAATACGATAGGAACATTTGTTTCGGTTGTTGCTCAATTAATGTTGCTCATATGTTGAATAGAGCAACTTAGAGAGCTTCTTAAGAACTTCCTTCTTAAGCGATAAAGTAAAAATGGGTTCTTTTCCTTCTGTAATAACGTAAAATGAATGTCTATATTAAAAGAATTTGTTCTAATGTGAAAATAAAATAAATATACATTTTATTCAAATCCGACCTAGTCATTACTGATGCTACCCATGGTTATTATACGAGTATATTCACAGTTGCGATTCCATTGAGCAGTTTACGTAGCTGTTGAAAATTTTAAAATTATAAATTACATATGCTCGTTGCATTACTCATCGTGAAATCCATTATGTTAAACGTATCTTAAAATATTTCTAATTGTAATCACCTTGATTACGAAAACATAGTGGTTATTGATGCATTATATATTTTTATTGAATAAATGGTCTTGGTTTTACATGATTATTTATTGAAACATTTACCAAAGTTTTATATTAATATTAAGTTATGTACCAAAGATTGATATTGGTCCATTTGCTTCTGTCGATTGACATGAAAGACAGTGAATCACTTTTCCTCTTGCGAGGTTTAAGAGGGACCACTGCTTAGGTGCTTGTAACGCCCTCCCGTCGGCTGACACTGGCGTGTTTTCGTGCAGCCACAACGGTACTTTCGAAGTTGTTCCTCCTCCATATTACCTGATGTAGCCCACGGTCCTTGATTCAGTGTTCCTTCTTCCACCTTACTAGAGCGGCCCGTCGGTCTATTGGGTTAGGCCAGTATTAGCGAAATAGGGAAACTCACGGCTGCACTTAGGTAGCATGATCTGTGGCGCGAAATGAGAACAGCCTGGCGGCAACCTACTCACTAAATGCAAAAAAAAAAAGTATCTTTTTTATTTCAGAAATTTCTTCCCGAATTGAGATCTCAATGAATCACATTAGTATATTCACCTATGTTCTGGGATTAGTTTTATATATCTGTCTTTATTGGCCTGGCGGCTTAGCTCATTGTGCAGCGTCATAATGCTCGCTTTCCATGACGCGACCCCGGGTTCGACTCCCGGTCGGATAAGGTAATAGTGTGCGTTTTCCTTGCAATGTCCCATTATACGTTATATATATATTATATATATATAATATTATATATATATATAATATTATATATATATATATATATATATTATAATATAAGTATGCGTGTGTAGGGAAATCGAGGGAAAGCCGAACTTATGAAGTAGTACGAAAATCATTTTCAGAATTTTTTGATTCCAATATACGCCAAAGGTTTGTTAATATCTCAGACATCAGTTTCTAATATCGCATGGTTATTGAACGGCAATGCTTGAAACTATTGATTATTTATGCAAATAACATTAGTTTTTTTATTTTGTAATCTTTGACATTTTCGTCCATGTTTCACCTCTCCTGAACTACTGCGCGTCGCCACACAGATGCAAAGTCCGTCCGTCCCCCCCCGCACCCCTCACCCCGTCAGCGAACCGGTGGCGCCGCCACCCGCATCCAATCTGCGAAACAAAGGAGCCCTTCGCGCTCGCTGCGAAGTTTTATGCGCGTCGCGTGTATAAGCGCTCTTAATAGCCTGCTCCCCAGAATAATCGAGTTGCAACAGGATGGCTCGACATACTGACGCTTCAAAGCACAGTCTCCGTGTGGCGAATGTTCTATTTAACGTAGTTTCCTACTTGTTTTCCCGATGGAGGTATAAACTTTTTCACTTTTGTTTGATCTTCTCCACCGCTTGTAGAGCCATATACCTGTGTTAACTTTATAACCAATTTGTTTCTTTCTCCATGAAAATTGGAGTTACAATCAATTAAAATTAGTAAGTAGGGAAACTGATTTTATTACCCCATCAGTCGATGTTACAACGTAAATTTGGCAATTCGTGGGACAGAAGAGGATTATAATGTTGTTAAAAGTGCTCTATGTGCATAGAATATTCTACTGGAGTGTGAAATATTTATATTATTCTGAAATTCGATTTTAATTTGATGTGCCCCTTCTTAGAAGTATGGTCAATTAAAGTATTGAAGTGTGTTGCACCATTATGGTCTCCCTTGCTTCAAGCTAAAATGCGCATCAAATTAGTATTGGAACAAAGCTAACTCACTGAATTTAAGTTTGTTTTCATTTCATATTGTACTTGTTCTCCGTCTCTTGAACTTTAACTATGATAACCCCACATGTTTTCCAGCAAGCACTTTCCATCATCTAGAGTTTGACTGGCTGATACACGCGGTCTTCTTTAATACAAGGAGGAGGCAGTCGTATAGACGTTTTTGCAGTTCCAATTCATCTTTGTGACTTCATTTATTCTTTAGTTTTCCTGATGCACGATAACATACTTAGTGTTCTAACCCTAATGTACAGTTTTTTTAGATTGCGAGATATATTTATCGTTCATGGTTTACATTCAGAAGTCATTGGAATGCTACCTCGTGGGGTGGCATTCAAATGAACGCTCATTTTCAATACACCTGAAACGCTACTAAATTTCTTGCGATTACGTGCGTATATCGCCTCGTTCTGATATTGTTCATATTTCGGTGAATGTAGAAGATTCGTATTTTAACCGTACGTAAAACGCGCGCGAACGAGCGAGCGAGCGAGCGTGTGTGTGTGTGTGTAAGTGTGTGTGAGTATACTAGTATCATTGATTTCCTTTTTATTGACAGGATTGATTAGTAAATTGATGTAAAGTATTCGATGAAAAAGATGACATAAGATGTAAATCACGACATAAATGAACCAAAATTTTCATGAATTGCAAAACACCCAGACGACACTTATTCCAATTGTGGAAAAAAATGTATAGGGAAAGTGGTGATACGAAGAAAGTAATTCCGTGTTTGAATTATCAAGAATGTAAATAATGGTAAATATTGAGAAACATATTGTATAATAGTATATTATAAAACGATGACGTAATGATGGGTATTAATACACATGTGTGATATTACGTTAAGAACGTATATCGTAACTTTCACATGAGTGTATTAATACCCATTACATCGAGTTTGCAATTTTGTGGCAGTTGACATGCAGGATTCAGTCAAGACCACAAAGCGGACAGCTCCCTACCCTACACTGCTGCAGGTGGCTTTGGTTTACCCCTGAGGTAGTCAAATAGGAACATAGTGAAATTACGATTCAATATATTTTAAATAACATTCTTCGTAACAATTACTCAGAATAAAATAAACTAAAACTGACACGCATAATATAATATTAAATTAAATTTTAATGTACACAATCGAAGTAAACCTTTACTAGGACGATTCTCAATGATTAATTAAGTGTCAATATTTGGTTTGTAAGCTTCTGATGGCTTAAGAATCGGTATCATAATGGAATATTTATGGTTATGAGTTTCACTATACAACTGGTTGCATCCATCAAAACACAAAATTATGACACTAAATGACACTTATGATTATACCAATAAATGAAGCCACAAAGAGGAAAGGGAGTAGAAAAACAAATTATTCTCTAATACATACATTCAAACTCACGTTTCTCTAAATAAATGAACACCATTTTTGAATCAGCTTCTCTACTTTTCGAGAGATACTGTTTGTCTCTTGTTCTTCCCCCGAAGTATGTTCCGCGCTTTCTCTGTTCCCGCAGCGCGCCGAGTGATGCGCGTGTGGTCCGAGGCGCGTGCACCGCCTCCGCCTCCCACGCCGCCGGCGCCGCGCCGCGCGCGCCCTCAGCTGTGAGTGGCGATGGGTGCGGGGCGCGGGCGCGGGCGGGGCGGCGGCGCGGGCGCGCTGCTGCTGCTGCTTCTTCTTCTTCTTCTTCTTCTTCTGGGAGTCGCCCGCGCGCAGGTCGCCTGGACACCCATTTACGTCGACGGCAACAGTGAGTTACGCCCCGTGTAGTACTTTGTTTTATTTCTCTAGTATTATTTGTATTTGGAGAAGTTTTTTTTTGTTATTTAAGGTCGCATCAACTATTACTCGGGCAACTTTTCTTGAACGATGGACTGAGGGTTTCGGGTGGAGTGGGGGTATTAGTTACAACGTCGGCCATTACAGTATTTTAAGTAATGCCAATGTCTGCGAAATGAAAGTCAAAACTGCATCTTGTGCTTAACTTTTTCGGGAGTTTTAGGTGACACCCTTGAAGGACCTGGACCTGACTCAGCCATTTCTTTCGATATTGACAATAAACCTGAACAGGGGTTCTGCACTATGAAAGCAACTGACTTTGACTAGCTTCTGTTTCGCGCCAACGAAGTTTTAATGCTTGGAAGGTTGTCATCAGTGCCGGCTGCGAGCTTTTGCCTTCAACGGTTTATAGCACAAGGGAGGGGGATCAACGTCATCGTTCAAGAAAAGTTGCGCGAGTAATACTAGGTCATTAGTTCCTGTTTGCAGTTACTGTGGTAATTTCGGTGTGTTTTGTATGTCACAAGCACCGTGATCTATCTTAGGAAGGAGAAAGTAATTTAATAAAGAACTTCAATTAACTTTTATAAAAAAAAGTGATTTCATATCAGCACTTCCTCGCATTATTAGGAATGGTAACTGAAATTTCATGACATCTACCCAAAAAATAACTTTTGCAATTCTTGAAAATTCAAAAATTTTAACGAAAATGGGACCGACGCTATTTTTATAAGCGTACTTCGCTCTATTCACCATGAAATTCTGGAATCCATTTTCGAAAATGTCGTTCAGACTTCATGTTAAGTACCTTCCAAATTCAAAGTGTTCCTTTCAAATTAGCAGGGTCTCGACTACGGCCAGATCCATCGAGGTTTATCAATTTTGAATAAAATCCTATGAACGGTTACAGCGTTGATGTTGTGGACGGAAGGACACAGAAGTTTTGCCTTAAATCAATTATTCGATACCAATGACCAACATAACGCGGATTCTGATTATCAAAAGTATTAGAGGAAGTAATTTACTATATGTACCTACGGAAACTATTTTTTTTATCGGTAGCAGGAACCGACAATATTACTTTCTTATGGAAAAATCGCCAAATTTCGCTTCACCTTTGCAGTCCTTTCTCTTTTCTACGTAAGTGCGTAGTAGGCGAGAAAGCAAAAGTGAAAATACGAAATAATTGTGTTTAAAGCTTTCGTTGACAATGGAAATTCAGAAATCAATGCTCAATAATTGATGGTTAAGGAGAAAGCTTTACTGAAAGTTTTGTAGAGTTACTGTTTAGAAGTTATTGTAAATATTATAAATTAGGATTGCGACTTGCCTTGTGAGATTAAATTAATTTAGATTAAACTTTTATTGTGTTCCTCTGTGCTCCTAGTTTGAATTTTAAAATTATATTTTACCAAGCATTGCAAACAAATTATGCTATTCATATGCTGAATATATCTCAGCCGTTTGGTATCAATCTCACCATGGTAAAAGTATCCATACATTTTGGTACGAGTCATGTCAAGTTTACATACAATGACGACCCACTAGAGGAGTAAAGGTAACTTTCCACTGAACAATCTAGTTCAACGACCCACATATTCAATTGAATGGGTACGATTCCACTTGAAAACGATTTTGCAATTTATTATGACAACTATTGACAACTTGCAACAATCAAAATCAGATCGCCACATCCGATTCTATGAAAAAAAGTACCAAGAAACATACGTACTCCCAGAAGTAGTTTGTTAATATTATTAATGTATTGTATATTTTTTGACAATAATGTTAGGTATGGCGTAATTTTGGGCCAAATATGGGCACTTTCAAATAAACAATTTTCTTAAAAATTTCACAAATTATTTTCTTTAAACATTTATATCAACAGACTATACCAATAGACGTACTAAACGTTTATATAAATGCTCTGAATTACATTATATCAATCATATTTTGATATTTCTTTTAATTTTTTTAAATGATACATTTTTTACATATCTCCTACGTGTTAATATTTACATTATAGTGATTCTTTATTCAATATGGAATTGCTGCAAATAAGCACTCCAAGGATTACTTATGAGATTTCTCGAACACTCCAAAGTTTTCTGCGAAACGTATCTCAAAATTTCTCAACTTCAGAAACGCTCAAAAGACATTTTTTCTTCAAAATTTAGTTCTTATTTTTCAATGAGAATTTGCGATACACAACTAAGGCTTTATTCGTCTGTAATATTGTTAATATCATTTTCCTATTTTAATGTAAAACTATTCTTGCCAAAACACTATTTTCCCAGTATAACTATTACATGAAAGTAAACTAAACAATAGTGTAAGTTGATACAGTAAATGTAATGTTCAACTTTTTTTCTAATTATTTACATAGAGCCAATGCTGCAAAGAACAATGTAGGTTATGTGTGCTTAAAAGAATCAGACAGTTATATTATTAGTATTAACAAATTATTAATTTATTACATAATCGTAACACGTTTAAAACCAGTACAACAGTGTTTTAACTTGTGTTCATGGTGTAAGGAGCATTCCGAATCCATTGTATATTGCATCCCTAACCTGATCTTTTCATAATCTTGGTACGACAAGCAACTGTGTGCACAATCTGTGTGTGTAAACGGATATTACACGCGCAACATTTCTTTAACGATGAGATTGCTTCCCCCTTCTGATACGAAAAAAAGTTGAAGACGAAAGCTCGCAGCGTGCACTGATGACATTCCAAACACATCTCACTGGCGAGGAATAGAAACTATTTTCCATTGGAGATGAGAACTTCTGTCCGTTATTTTCTCCAAACAATCTAACGAAATGACCGAAGCAGATGAAGATCGATCACAGGAGATATCGCGAACTCCTGAGAAAGAACGCAAATTGTTGAGAAACTTGCGAAGGTATGACTGATTCTCCAGAGATGGGCATTGCTTCATAAAAGCTAGCCGATTTCGTAACTAATACCCCCCACTCTATGCATTTCTTCAACCCATCGTTCAAGAAAAGTTACGCGAGTAATACTATGGGCAAGTATGTAAATGACAACGCCTAGATAGGTCAATGCTTTTTTCTGTTCGCTGAGAACAAAGGTGCTCTTCACTGTATTTTTTATTATTTGAGCGGTTGGTACTTGGTGTGTCTTTGAGGCAGCAACAGTCAGCTGCTGACAATAGGGATGGGGTAAAACCAAGCAGCTAGTTCAGACTCAAGAGAATAGGAATGGTATCCACGGCATTCTGTAGCACCACTAGTTACTTTATTGCTTAATACTTACATAGAACAGAGAATGTATTGTTATACTGCGGCGGAAAACTGCTACCTTTTGAAAGAAAAAACTCGAATTCTGGGCCGCTGATAGCGAAAAACAGTACAACTTTTGTTCTTATATGTAATAAATAACCACGATTTGAGTAATTTGCTAACTTTAGACATCAAAATGCTAACTTACTAAAATAGACCTTAAAAATTGAGCGCATTCAACAGACAATACACATTAAAATAAAGTAAATCTACTAAATAAATTTTAACACGGGTTAACAAATAATAAATAGATGTTAAAAACCTTGTAAAATTCTCAAGCTGCATTGTTTGTTTAGGGTATTTTTATTTCTCTTATTATAGCTATTAACACCTATCGTTACGACGCTTGAAGTAATTTCACGCCTTGGAATCCCATTTGAGTCGAGGTAGAACCCATGGAAATTTTACCAGAGGTTCCCTGAAGAATGCCCGATTGTTTGACCGCGTAAAATTTCAATGTAAATCCCATTTAGTAGACTAATGGCGCACCTCCAATTCTCCTCTGGAATATCAAATATTTATACTACGTGAGTGGACAAGCCATACTAGTTTGCTGAACTCACAAAGTTTGCCGGAAACTCATAAAAATTTTGTCGTAACGCTTGTTGATATTTTTTTGCTGGAAAGTTAAAAATGTAATCTCGCGGGAAAAGAAGTTTGCATTCACGTTAAAAGCAATTCACGGCAATACAAATGCGTTGAAAGGTGTAAAACTTGCATGACATTCATTCAAATGCATAAATGTGCTCTGACTTCATAAAATATTAATCGAACTACTTTTGTAAATAATTGGGATTTTATGGAACTCCTGTGCCTCTTAGAATTTCAATTTATGAGTTTATAAATACTACAACTGTGCTTCTAATTCGCAAACCAAGGCAAAATTCTCTATTACATTATTCTATCTGGAAATATAATTTTCTATCGTTTTACAATAACTAAGAAAGTGTTGTGTTTGCGTTCTATCTAATTTCGTGAGTAATAAGAATTGCAATCATCTGCAAGTTGAGAATTGTTGAAGGTAAGTTATTTGTAAATTAGTCTTATTCTTTGAAAAATATGAAAGTCATAAATAAGTAATCATAACTACCACTGGAATCCAAATAAACATTCTTTCTTTTATTTTCTTATATTTAGTAAATCCTATAACATTTGAGACTTAGATTGGCACGAATTACTAATCCGAATAATAATATATCTTTGCCTTTTTATGAATTTAATTAATTTAATTTTATCTTTAATTTCATGAAAGCGTCTTTGTCCACATTCAATCATGCGCAACAGACAGAGCGTCATTGTAATATTAAAGTATTCTATTTACATCACACGGTTAATACAAATTATGGACGAAGAAACTTTGTGTGCTGTGATCCTCGCCATACAAATACTCAGGTTCCCGAAAAGATGTTTGATCTTCATTTAGTAGAGAATAAAATGTGGAAGGCGTAGGAGTTAAGGCCACATGGATTGATACGGTTCTTCAATAACATCATCTTTTTTAAATGACTGTAACATATAACATTATATTCTTAATTTTTGTTAGGGAAAACCATAAATCTTCTTGGAATCATGTGAATCATTATTATTAACAAAAATTGACTCTACGTTTTAGTTAGAAAACGTTTGTATAGGAAAAAGAAAAGGGCTGTTATTAGGGTTTTCC